CCCCCCCCGCCCCGCTGCCCCGCAGACGGTGTTCCTGCAGGACAACGGCGTGGCCCAGATCCGGCAGCAGGACCTGGCGGGGCTGCGGGGGCTGCAGTACCTCTACCTGCAGAACAACAGCGTCTCGGCCCTGGAGCCCGGCGCCTTCCGCGCCCAGCAGCGCCTGCTGGAGCTGGCCCTCAACGCCAACCGCATCCACCTGCTGCAGGCCAGCGTCTTCCAGGGCCTCGCCCACCTGCGCGTGCTCTACCTGGCCGGCAACCAGATCACGCGCCTCCTCGACTGCACCTTCTGCGACCTGCAGGTCAGCGCGGGGCTGGCGGGGACCCGGGCGCCCCGGTCTCACCTCCCCGGCTCCAGGGGGGTGCTAATGGTGCCACCTGCGCTGGGTCCGGGCACCTGCCCCTGGGGAAGGGAAGGGAAGGGGTGGGCAGGTGAGGCTGGACGCCTGGTTTCTTCCCACGACCAGCTGCGATGCTGGGAAAGTCATTTCCCTGTCTGGTGTCTCAGTTTCCCCTGGCTGCATCCTGCCCGTCTGTCCCAGGGCTCAGGGTGTTAGGGGCTGTGCAGCGACATGGGCAGGGGGTGCCCTAGCTCTTTGCAGGGAAGGACCTGGCTGGTAGGGTTTGAGGGGAGGTAACAGGTGCTTGTGAGGGCACGTGCGCCATGGGGCCGGAGCATGGCAGCTGTGCCAGGTGCCTGCTCGTATCGTGCACTAAGTATTTGGCAGTGGTGCATGCTGTGGGCACGGGGATCTTGATGCACTGGCTCACGTGGCAGGTGTACGTGCAGGCACCTGTGTGCAGTCACGTGTCAGAGCCTGGCTGCACGCGGGCCTTTTGCAGCGTTTGCTCCCGCGCATTCCCACCATTTGCATGTGCTTGCCCACCGCATGCAGTCACCTGCCAGGGCTTGTCCGAGCACGGCTGCATGCCCGCGCTGGCGCCTTTTGCAGCATTTGCTCCCGTGTGCTCACACGTGATGGCATGCACTTGCACGTGCACACACGCAGGTGGTCACGTACTCGTGTGTGCATGCACGTGTGCCGACCTGCCCGCCCCTACCCCCCTCAGAGGCTGCAGGAGCTGCACCTACAGGAGAATAGCATCGAGACGCTGGCGGAGCGGGCGCTGGCTGGGCTCTCCTCGCTGGCGCTGCTGGACCTCAGCAAGAACAACCTGCGCACCGTCACCCGCGCCACCCTGCACCCCCTGCTCAGCCTGCAGGTGCTGCGCCTCACAGGTAACTCCCGAGCTCTCCCTGCCACCAGGCTGGGGGTGAGTCCTCCGGCTCCACAAAGCCTCCAATACCCTGGCGCGGCAGGCACCATGGCTCCGTGGGATGGGGGCGGCTGAGGAAGCTCCGCCAGGACAGCCCTGCCCTATCCCCCAGCACCCTGGAAGGACTTCGGGGGGTTTCATGCCCAGCTTGGGGGTTGCGGTCACTGGAAAGGGGGGTCCCCAAGACCGTGTGGGGAAGGGGGCTCCGTGGCAAGGGGCTGAGGCTCTTTCCCGCTGGCAGAGAACCCGTGGCGCTGCGACTGCGCCCTGCACTGGCTGGGCATGTGGGTGAAGGGGGAGGGCCGGCGCCTGCTGAGTCCGCTGGACAAGAAGATCGCGTGTGCGGAGCCGCCACGCCTGGCGCACCAGAGCCTGCTGGACGTCTCGGGCAACAGCCTCATCTGCATCCCGCCCGCCGTGCACGTGCAGCCGGCGGAGGCCACGGCCCGGCTGGGCGACGACC